CAACACACTCGGTCCAGAGTACTTCCTGCGTTTGTTGATCATCCGACCACCATTGGAGGATAAGCTCGCATCACAACTGTGCATTCGCCGCAAATCACAGTTTTATTGGTAAAAACGTATAAATCTGTCGAAAATTGTATGCATTGAAAGGCTCGTGACCATCAGCGTACATATGCACAGTATACGGATGAGTGAAAAATCGTACTCAATTTATACAACACAAAATGTTGATCGAAATTAGTGATGTTGCTCAATTTTAGTATCGCAATTACATTGCGTAAATTATGGAGATAGTTTAGTGAACTACTATATCCTCCTCTCTCAAATTTTTGGCGTCGCACTTGCTTTATGCACATGGAAACTAGAATATCGCCAATCGTTGCCTAGCTTTCGAGATTATGCCTGAACTTATCTTAGCGCAATTCTCTTGCAGATCAAATCGTTTTACGGAACCATAATGCTAAAAATCGACATTATACATAGTGGCGATGCATTTTAGTGCTTGCACAAGTTTTAATCGATGCGTCGCGATCTTTTGGTGCTGACCTTGAATGACCCAAATATTAACCCGCATGGATTATGAGCTTGTTTTGATCAAGCGAGATGAGATCACGCCTGATCTATAGCACACGGACTCGAAAACATGCAAAATCGATCAACGGGTCGTCTTGAAGCCACCTCTACCGCAAAAGTTTCAGCAGGTTGTAGTTCGTGTAGTGCGCTCGACGGAAACCATCATGTTTCTTTCTACACGAACGAATGGAAATAATCAGCGGCAGATCAGTACTGAGCGTGCAACCGATCATTGTCAGTTGCAAATTGTCGCCAAATCACGAAATGTTGGGGCGAGGATGTGGGATCGGCATCTAGAATTTATAGCAGTGTGTTGGCACGTATATCACGCATCTATGGTGCAGTAAACGCACCCAAAATCGTCCGTTGATTTGTTTGAGTTCAATTGGTTTTGGAGGCGAGAAACGTGAACTGTAACTTACGCAAATTTTTAGAATTGTGTACATAAATTAAATTAGACCCATATTCTGTCTATGAACGTATCTATTACATGCCAACCTTTTAGTGGATGCTAACACAACATGGAAAAAATCACCTGACATTTTACAACGTAGTGATTAATTATGAAATCACAGCAGACATTAAATCTATGGATGTTGGAGTATGAAAGAGATGAATGAAATATATACAAAAATAAAAGCCGCCCTTACTCTTTCTTAATTTTACAATTTATTTTACAAAAGATTAAATTTTTCAAAAATTTTTGATACTGTACAACTTTGCATTTAGAAATTATTCCTTTATAAAATGCGTCCATTTAAAGAGGATTTCGAAAAACCTCTTACATATTACTTTAAGTGAAACAGAGGTTTTGAGAATTTCTGATTTTTCTATCATTGCTTTGAAATGATCTACCTTTTTTTCAATTAAGTTAGTTCTTTTTAATTGTTAATGCCAAATAATGAAAAAAGAAAGGTTAGGAGATCTTTTTAGGTGATCTTGCAGCACCTGGCAATGTTCATGGCAAGTAGATGACGAATAGATGGATTTAAGTGCACTTGGGCGGATCGAGGATATCTAAAGTGTTTGCTGGATTAGATAATCAATTCTTACCGATAGTTAAGACGGATCAATTGCTATAATTTTGCGCGACATCAAATCGAATATCACAATATAGATCTGACTGTCAGGAAACTGAGATCGAGAATATGCAGGGAGGTCAAGATTGAGAATACGGTGACACCTCAGTGCGGTAGCAGTCTGGGATGGTAATTGGTGATCGAAAGGTTTTTCAACGGTCAGAGTGATCGCTATCAGGAATGGTGACCGATGGTCATTGGTGAACACGATCCAGAGCATTTACAAATTGAGACTGCGTGCGACCGTTGCGAACTACATTTGTATGATAAGGATTAACGGAATTTAGAGTACACGTGGCGTACACCGTGATATAAAAGTAGTCATACTTAAAGTGTCAGTTTTTGGCTGGTTAAAATTAAACCAAATTTAATTTGCATTCAAGCACACTCATGTCAACATCTCTTTCGGGCTGTATATACTTTTCCTTCCGAGGTTAGGAAAGCTTCGCATACAGAATTAAATGAGATTCTAAAAATAAACGGCTGATAGTCAAGAATTTTAAGCCACTAAAATCGAACTGACGTAGCTACAGCGTAAAAGCAATGTGCAAGGCCGCAGTACGGCTCAAGTGGTCAGAAGGTCAAGCGTTTCTACAATCTACATAATGAACAAGACGATCTCGTCAATATGCAAGTATCTTAACATCAAGCACCCTACCAGTACAACCGTGATCGTGTAAAAATTTGCACGATCACATCGCCCAATTCCCAATAAGGTCAAGTTTTTCCAACTTTCTTACCGATAAGAGTTTATCCCGACCCACCAACGGGATAACAAAATGAGGAAGAAGAACATTTTCAAATGGCAAAGAGTTCTAAACGAGATTTCTATTGGGAATTGGATCGGCGTTCGCACGGGTCGCACGCTTCAGTTAAGCCAAGAATGCTATGATAGGTGGACACAGGCCAGGAGGGTAGCTGACAATAGCATACCCGAACCTTAAGTGGACAGGATCGTCCAGCCTGGGACGAGGCTATAGGGTGGTCACACCCGTTTTGATTACGCAATCCGTCGTGAGACATGGCAAGACAAGACCCTCGATCTCACTGGAAGACCGCGGTCCTAACCCAGGATCGCAAGTCCGATCTCAGCTGCGATCCGCTAGTAGGGTCACGACCCGCTAGTAGGATCATGGGTATATCTTGGGTGGGCCACAAGAAGATACGACTGCTGATCTAAATGGTGTGGACCACACAAATGCGAGGGGACGATCTTCCTGGAAAGGTGACCCGTGGCATCTGGTTGGGATATACGGATAGGCATAGGGTAGGGTTTAGGTTGGTTGGTTGCCATTAAACAGAGTTCAAATTACTTCACAAGGCACACGTTATCTCTTCCGGGTAGGATCTTTGGCCCCCGTCGAATAAAGAGTCGCGCTACACGTCTACGAAAGTGTCACACCTGGATTGTTTTGGCCAGGTGTGTTCAAGAACTCTCAAGCAAAATCAACTGCGATCGGACGCAGCAAGACACTTGAAGGCTAGGCGCAAGATCGCGAGACGGCTCAAGTGGTCAGAAGGCTCGCGGGTCAAGCAACCACATAGTGGACAAGGCGATCTCGTTAAAATCAGGGTAACTTATATCAGTACCCACAAGTACCCCGTGATCGCGTGAAGATTTCCGCACGATCACAACCTCATCCCCAACACAGTCAAGCTTTCCTTCGACACGAGTCCACCTAAAAGAGTGCAACCCGCCCTACCGACTGGTACACAAGGTGAGGAAGTCAATACACACGGAATCGGAGTACCCCTCCGTTAGTCGGTCGTCCGGGCGCCAGTGGAGAGTTGGGATCGACTCAGGAAATGAGCGATCGCCACTCCACCACAACGAAGCGCGTTTCCGGATCTTCTGGTGACTCGGAAATTCTCCGTGAGTCCACAAGTGAAAAAGTGAAGGTCAAGAATGAACCTGGGATGGATGCGTTAAAGGCAGAGAGATCGACTTCGACGCGTGATTTTAAAAGATCCCCGGATAATCAGAAGTTTGGGAGGGGCTCTGATGACAAAAAAAGCAAAGAGGATAATTGATCAATCGATCTGGAAGATAAACCTCGACCCCCTCCTATGGTCCCTTTGAGGACCACCGCGGACCGTGCTGCAAAACACATCCGCTGGGTGGAAACCCTTCAGCGAGAACTGAACAGAAACTACACAATACCACTCAGGCAATGTCAAATAAGACGACTATAAAGACAGATCGAGTGAAGAAAGAAGAGCCCAGATAGGATCGACACGATCACGGCGTGAAAGCGATCGTGAAACCGATCAAGTATGTGGACGATGCTTTGGATATGAAGATGGAAGGCTGGCAGTTGGATCACCTGGCGCAGAAATTCCCTTGGAAGGCGCTCAAGAATCTGCTTTTGGCGAACCCGTGCTACAGATACTGAATCCTAAGCTAATCAGAGAGACACAAGGCCCAACATCCCTACCGAAGGTGGCGACTTACGCAATAAAAGGGATCAGCACGATCATCCAGCTGCTGCAAGATCCTGGATACATCGCTGGAGCGTTCGATGCGAACGAATTGCTGGAATGCGAACAGGATCAGGTGATCCATGCGTGTCGATCGCTGTATGACAAGCTAATTCCTCTGACGAGGAAGTGCGAATTTGCGGATCAAGCGGTTGCCACGATCGCCGATGTCCCGAGGGGTATCATACCAGGTTTTCACAATATGCCTTGGCGGGATCAGAGATGGAGTCGGACGATTCCGTCGGCATCCAGCGAATGTCTCCAGGCATAAGTGGTGCAGCACATCTACGCGATCGAGTGGAATCGGTGAAGCTGAACTCGCGATCAAAAGGCCACAGGCGCTAAAGAGCTGTTGACGACTACTACGCAAGGAATCCTGCAGACATACCTCGATGAGGCCATGGAACGTTTTCGCCAAAATCAACGGGAACGAGCGTATCAAGCGAGATACCCTTGCTAAAGGATCAAGCCTGCTAGATTCCGTAAAATATGTACTCCTTCATGTGGAGATGAAATCGGTGCAGTCGCGCATCAGTCAACCGGAGGTTTTCGACCCTGACGACATCGATCCCGATCAATCGGGACAAGAAGATCGTAGACACGCTATGATAGCTACGACCGAGACGTTGCAAGATGGTGGTAGCATACCTTAGCGCATCGAGTGTCGGTGGTGACAGAGCTGAAAGAATTCAGTGGCAAGGATCGGGATGAAGATCGGACCAAAAGCTGGATCAGCAAGGTCAAATTGGCCTTCTTGCGCGAACAAGCACCCGATGAGGAGAATCGCTTGGTGTTCGTTCATCTGCTGACAGGCCCTGCTCGAAACTGGTTTAACCAATTAGGTCGATCCACTCGAAAGAAGTGAAAGAGATGCTGGATGAGTTTAGGGTACAGTATGGAGGGCAAGGTGTGTCTCTGGCCAGACACTTTCTCGCACGGAAACGATCGGATGAAAATCCACAGGAGCATCTACACCGCCTAAATGTCGTGGCTAAGCAAGCCAAGATTGCAATCGGAGACGAGAGGATGGCCACATCGGACACACGTCGTAAACATGTGGAGAATTTCATTGCCACGTTGGACGATCGCGATCTGGCCAAGCAGCTGACCCTACTACGATTGGCCGATGTCAATGAGTGGGATGAGACGTTACGTGCATGCCAAACGATAGAGAGCCTTCAGTTGAAGACGTCGACAGGATCGAACAAGTTCCGCCAGCGAGCGAATGCCTCCCCAAATCCTACGTCATACAAGACTGCTCGAGCGAAGAGGGCAATCCGTGAGGGATCGAAAATTGCGGATCGGAATCGGACTCGATTGGATCGGGTGAAGACAAGGATCGCCGCTGAGTTTGTGTGACCACTACATCTGGTCAAGAGAGATCAAATCAAGATCATCGTACCTGGCAGAAGAATACTGGTGAAGAAGATGGACGTGATCAAGGTGGAAAATCGAAGGCATGCACCCTCTGCGGATTGACGCAACATGATGATCGTGGATGCTGTCAGAGACTAACATGCCGGAAGTGCGGTCGCAAAGGGCATCCATCGGACAAGTTCTTCTACGTGTGTGCAGCACGGGAGAGGTACATGAGAATGGCAAATGCTCCATGGAAGAGTTCTCTAACTTGATCCGCCAGTGGTATGTGCCTACTAAGCATGCGGGTATTTTTCCTCCGGAGGTCGAGGAAATGTTAAACTAGGACGCTCGCCGGGTTGGAATCTGGCACGAGCCGAGCATTCTGGGCTATGCATATATGCAATGTTGAGAAGAAGTCGGATGACCAAGGAGTTAAGGATCGGCGCGATCCGATCTCTAATACATGTGATCGTTTAAAACAAATCTCTTTAATTTCAAGTGTGAAGCGAGTGGACTATTATGCCCGATCCTCGATGGAGATGGAGCTCGATCTCACCCCAGGTGAGTCGAGGGGATGCTGGAAGTATCATACTCCGGGAAAATATCTCAAACAAGCGAAAGCAGTGGGCAAGATCAACAATGAGAAGGCCGCTTTTCTGTTTGACTCTGGGGCGGAGATCTCGATCATCGACACTACCTTTGCTCGTAAGGTAGGGTGTGTGATAGACGAGAATTAAACACACGAATGTGTTGGGATCGGAGAGAGTACTATTTGACGGTAGGACGGCCAAGATCAAGATCACACTGAGCGGATCACTAGTGTATTATTTTGGTGTATCGGTTGGGGATCAAGTCGGTCAAGAAGCTATACTAGGCATGGACTTCATGGTTCCTGCAGGTATTAGTTTGGATTTGGCCGACGGAACCCTTTGCCTGCCCGATGAAGTTCGAATCTATCTGGCTGGACGAAGACCACCGTACCGATCGAAATTATCGGCGGTCAACATTAATGATCAACATGTAGTCATTGAGGCCGGCATATCGGCAGAAGTCAGGATCGGCGTCAGACCTCCTAAATCTAATCTTTGGGTGCGACGGGATGTGGCGTGAATTCATACCGTGACGAATGTTCCCGAAAGGATTAAGTTCCTGCAGCTTACAAATGTAAGCGATCTTGACTTGATTTTAATTTGCGGTGCCCCTTAGCGTTGTGGATGACAGAAGACATGATACCGCGATCTAAAGGATACGAATCTGTAGGATCGCGGCGGTACATGGAATGGAAGAAATTGGCTTTTGAAGCCACTACGGATCGAGGAGAAGAAGAAGCCGAAGCCTACACGAACCCGTTAGCCAATCATCCTACGTATGATAAACCCGACCGAATTTTGACACACTCAAAACGGAAATCAGACGACATCAAGGATTCTGCAGAGATCGCCCTACTATCCGACTTTAATGGTGACTCTAACGAGGAGTTACAGCACGAACGTACGAGTGGAAAGAATAACGAAGATAAGGATGATAGATCGACCTTTAGATCGTGTGCGGTCAACGTAGTGCGGAAGACGCCAGAACATTCGGGTGAAGAGGACATGGTTGCAGAGGAGGCTATGACACCGAAAGACAACCATGAGATAACTGATCCGCTACAAAGACAGTCCAATTGTCACCCAGACGGGATCAAGGTTGAATATCGGGAGGTGCATGGCCAGTCTACACGACTGGATGACGACTTGAAAGCCGTTACGATCGACGGCGAAGTAATGGAAAATGATGTACCGGGTGAATTAACATACTACCACGAGGGAGGTGAACTGTTCGCGGAAGATGTGGATCAACACATGGCTGTGCTGCCGGAGGTAACCATATCCAAGACCGCAATAACAATAGGCGGTGTCCAGGTTAACGATCCTGGAATATTCTTGACAGAGGATCAAGAGGAAGTGCGAAGACTGATATGGAATAGACGTCACCTGTTGATCGGGAAAGGAAATTCATTACCCCCTGCAGCACGCGAAACCGTTTGTGATATTGATGTGGGAGAGGCGAGCCCGATCGCTCAGCGTGTACGACCTGTTGCGCCAAAGTTTTGTGAGAAGTTGGCCGATCTGATAAAAGTCCTGTTGTTAGCCAAGATTATCCGACCTTCGACATCGCCGTGGGCATTACCCGTAGTCGTGATTATTAAGAAAAATGGAGAAGATCTTTAACTGTGTGTCGACTATCGACGAGTTAATCAGCTAACACAGCTGATGGTGTACCCTATGCCACTTATTAGTAAATTGTTGCAGGATGTGGAAAAAGCAACGTGGTATTGTTCGCTGGAAATGGCAAGTGGATTTTGGGTGGTAGAGATGACCGAACGAGCAAGATCGATCTCTGCATTTATCACGCCGTCAGGTCTGTTTGAATGGTTGCGGATGCCTTTTAAATTGAAGAACGCCCCACAGATCTATCAGCGTTTGATTGATTGATAATGCTCTATATGGTTATCTCAAGATCGGCGCAGATAAGGATGCAAATGCAACGGATCATCCTAAGTTAACTGATGTGTTTACTGAGGGAGAGCCGGAAACGGATCAAGCGCCGTCAGTGCTGGGCAGGCGATCTCACATTGACGACATACTGATCCCGGCTACGTAATGGACATCTTTGTACGACAAGGTCGAAAGATTATCGACAGCATGCAATCGATGGAATTTGTCGATCAGTCTGACCAAGGGTTTTTGGGGACGGCGTAAGGTGGATTACTTAGGTCATCAGATATCTTTGGCTGGGTTGGAGGCCAATCCTAAAGATCTAGGATCACTGGTCAACACTCGTTTTTCCACAACTTTGCGATCTATGCAATCGTTCCTGGGTATCTTAAACTATTCAGTCGTTTAGTAGAAGATTTTGCAGTATGTTCATCTGTGTTGTACGAGTTACGAGAGGCGGATTTCCTTCGAGATGAGCCATATGGGAGATCGTGATGCGATGTCGGGAAGTTGCGAAAACACACTACAAGGGGGTGAGCACGATCCGAATGAGCATTCTAGGTGGGAAAGTGCCGCCATTGCATTCAATTTGCTGAAGGCCGATATTGCTACAACCACGATCCCCTATATTTCGATCCAGATCGACTTCCAGTGATCGCGGTATATGCTGGTAATTGGGCAATGTTTGTATCTCTATTGCAAGAATTTGACGGCGTGTACTGACCGGTGACATAAACGAGTCGCGCACTGAGGCCTAATGAAGTTAACTATGGTATGGTGGAGAAATAAGTTTAGCCTTTCTTCGAATCTTAAAAGTGTGCTACACCATGCTTGTATCCCGAGAGCTCGGGTGCTCACTCGATATTTGACATTAGCTTGGCTAGTTCAATCTTCTGGCCTCAACGGGAGACTGGGAAGATGAGCTGCGCTGCTATCGAATTGGACACTGGAGGTCAAGAGATGTAACAAAGGAGGGGATAAAATACTAGGCGCTATCGCAGCAAGTATAACTCCGTGAGATGAGATAGAAGATGTGTTGATTGCGATCGCTCCACAGAAGAAACCCAACCAATTTGTAACTATGCTACCTCCCACGGTAGGTACGGATGAATGCCTGTTGGTGGTCAGTTGCGACGGATTGGCACGGACTAAACAGAAGAGAGGGGTATACAGTGCGATCGTGTGAAAGCTACCAGAATGGACCATCGTCTTAGACGCTTCGGAATACGCGGCATATCTGACGGTGAATGCAGCATAATATCGTGGCAAGTTGTTGGGTCTAGATCTGCTGTAGAAACAAATTAAGGGATGAGTCATTATATGTGGTGACTCGAACCTGGTCATCAGGCAAATGCGGGGAGAGATGGATTGTAAAGCGCCCGGGCTACAGCTATTGCGACATAAAGCAATGCAGAAACTTCGATCTTGGCCAAAACACGAGTTCTTACACATGAAGAGGGAGTGGAAACAAAGCGCGGATCGACCAGCCGGTGCAATTTTGCAGCAAGAGGAAGGTGTCATTGTGAACTTGGATCAAGAATTGCAAGATTTGATATCACTCAACATGTTGCTCGAGCTGCTTCTGCCGAAAAAGGCCGGATCGCGTGGTGAAAATGATAGCGATCACACAATCCGCGCGGAGAAGGCGTCAACCACCCGAAGTTATACGAGAAGAAACAGTGCAGCGGATGAGGATCGAGCGGATAAAACAAGCGCACGAGGAAGAGAGCTGGATCGCCAACTTGCTGAATTATCTTGTGGGCGACCTGACCCAGATAAACGCAGAGGATGCAAAATTATGCTCTCGGATCGCTCCAGACTACGAAGTGGACGAAAACGAATTGCTGTTCTTCAGACCCCAATCCGCTAAGTGATCGGACGATCGTATCGAGATGGTCCGTCTGGTTGTACCGGAATCGTTGCAGCAACATTTTATGCACCATTACCAAACAAGCTTGGAGGGTGGTCACCAGGAGATCGGGAGAACTTATTAGCGGATCAGATCCAATTTTCACTTGAGAGGATTGTATCGGAGTATACAACGTTATGTTGGCGATTGCGTGGACTGCACAACCAGGAAGGGTCTACCCGCTATCCGCGGCAGATCCCCGAGAAACTTGTAGGCTACATGCCCATTTCAAATGATCTCGATGGATCGTATCCCATCATTGCCGCAGTCATTTAAAGGCACACGGAACTGCTGATGTGGGTAAATCTTTTCTCAGGATATGTGATAGCGAGAGCAAGTTCGTCGAGGACCACTCAAACGATCTCTGAAGGATATGAAGAATGTGAGCTTTAAAGATTTGGAGCCAGTGAAGTTATACGTCACGACAGGGAGCCTGGATTTGTGTCCGACTTTGGTCGAGAGATTAATCGGATCTCAGGCAAAAGCAACGTGCGACCATGGCGTACCGACCGCAAGCGAACGGAACTGCAGAGCGTACGGTACATACGTTGACTTGGTCGATTAAGATGTACTTCACAGACGTAGAACAGAAAGACTGGGATGAACATGCAGAAATATTGACATTCGCTATGAATACGGCATAAGATCGGATCCGTGAAGACACTCCGTTCTATTTGATAGATGGCTGGGTACAAGATCGACATTGGAAGTAACGTTACCGTTGGGGAGCACTAAAACACGCACTGCTGACCCTAGAAGGTGGCGATAAATCGTCCAACGTCAATGTCAGAGGGCAAGAGCAGTGGTAAACGAACGTCTCAAGATCGCTAACCAAGATCGAGCGGATCGACACAATGACAATAATGAGGTGTGTGACATCAAGTGCGGATCGCAGGTATGGCTCTACTTGGACCGAGTCAAAGACGGCTGTGCTCGAAGTTAGCACATATGTAGCACGGAACGTTCCAAGTGGCAAAGTTATGTGGGGAACATGCTGTTCGGGTGGAGATTATAGGAGCTCTATACCGATTGTTCCCGATGGTGCACGTCTCCGAGTTAAAGCCAGTGGTATAGTTTCCCGATCGGCCAGGCATTGTGCTAGTGACTAACTGTGAGGATCGTGTGGATTTCGATGAGTCGTTGTCGCCGGATGATAGTTGGAACGCGAGTTGGCTGCTGACGAATGCGAAGTGGAAAATGTTGGATTTACGATCAGCACGTAACACTCGTTTTGGCCGAATGCATCGACAGTTTTTGGTTTAATGGAAGCAACACGACGATCCGACCTGGATAGACGAAGCGGACCTAAAATGTGGCGTTGCAAAATTTAGAGCGCAACTGTGCGAGTCAAAAACGGCCAAAAGATATGCAGTCCTATGAGGAGAAAACCGAATGTTTACGGGTACTCAAAGATATGAGCGGTTGGCGCATGCTAAAAGGTGAACGTGAAATGGTGGATGGGCATATGTACAAGGATGTTGTATATAAAGATGGATCGGGGCTACATGTAAAATGAGTGATGATAGCGGATCGAAGGGATCCGATCGCGGTTGAATTCCGAAAAAAAAGTTGATCTCAAGATGAAGAACAATATGAAGGATCAAGAGAGAGTATATTGACTTTTGGAACTATCTGAATCAAATCCTAGCGATCAAGCAGGAAACATACCTACAAATTGTACGATCGATGATCCGGGGTGGTCAGTGATAAAGAATCGACGCTGGGAAGGCCAAGGTTCAGCGACATCCAGCAACGGGAGAGCAGCGATCAAATTGAAGATGCCCTTCATGTTGCATCACAGGCCAGGATACCAAGGGGAAACCTTTTTTAAAGAAGAAAATTGTAGAAGTAAGGGATCCAACAGAATGTCCAGGTCACAACCACCTCGATCATATTTTGCGAGATGAATCGAAGGATTGCCTCCCACCGGTGTCCAGCTCGCGGTCGACGCTGCTTCCTAAATTTCCACCACCGGTCCAGCTCAGGATCGCTAATCCGCTGTTCACTGAAAAAAAGATCGCGTGCGTCGACTCCCGCAAAGCCTGTCGGTTACGATCCTCGAACTCCAAGTACAGAGAGGTGAGCTGATAGAACCAGCCGGTACGAGGGAAGGAGATCGACGCAATACGACGTGTGGCTGTCTCCCAAGGCTCTTGGGCGTACAAGGACGCGATCTGGACCGAACACGCCAGCCGAGGTGTCCACTCAGATATAGGAGGAGGCCACTTGGGCGCCATAACCGTCGGGGAGATATAGCCTTTGGGACGGGATAAGTGACGGTACTGGAAGTCAGTGTCCATCTCCGCGACGCTCGTCCGACTGACCTTGCGTGCCGACCAGCGAGAAAACTGAGTGAACGATCGCGGTACGCGAACTCGATATCTAGGGATCCACTGGTCGCGAGAGACCTTGGTGGGGTACAAGCTATCATAATCCGCCAGAGATAACATCGGATTGACGTTATTACGAGGCGAATCAGAAAGGCTGATGGCACCATCCGAGTCGCTGGACGCTTCTCCGAAAAGGTCTGCGCTTGATACCTTATTCACAATAAAAATAATAGGATCAACCGGAGGTGGAGGATCGCGCGAAGGGCTAGGCGTGTCTATGACGATCGGATCCGGAGAAGGCCCAGCCGAACGTTATGCCGCCGGATTGGACGCTCGACGACGACTGGAGTATCGAGAATCGGGTAAGGCCGCTAAAGTCGTAGCCTCACCTGCCGATGTATCCTCCCCCTCAGACGAGATTAAGCCCGGATCACAGCGCTTCTGCTTACCTAGTTTCGGGGTAGCTGCAGGCTTCGCTGGATCATGGCGATTCTTGAGATCGCGACGACCTTTAGGATCGCGGGTTCCTTGGGAGCGGATTGTGCCACCTTGGGATCGCAAACTGGGGACGGCTTGGCTTTAGCAGTAGCGGATCGTGCCACCTTGGGATCGCAACTGGGGACGGCTTAGCTTTGGACGCAGCGGATCGAGTCACTTTCTTAAAATTAGGCAAAGCTGACGATGGTAGGGGATGGCGAGATCGCTTGCGAGGCGATCCTGAAACGTTCGACATTGGCTAAGGAGTCGCGGGAACGGGCGTGTGCGTAGACGGTCCCACCTTCGTAGGTGTGGCTGAAAGCTCTCCATACAGCAGCGACGCCATGCGATCCCGACGGGTCGTGTGATCTCCTATTGCGCAATCTCGTTCGGAAGCCATGTCCGTGAGCTGAAATTGCATCTGGTCCAACGTAACGTCACGATCCGATGCGATTCGACGCAATTGATCACACTCAGTGTATCGGGCGGATAGAGAATCCTGCTCCTCGCCCAGTTTGGCCTGAAGCCCCGATACATGCTTGAGCGCGCGACACAGCATTTCCTGGTCGGCCTGGAGCCCCTCTACTTGTTTGAGTGCACGACGCAGCTTCTCTTGGAGTTGGAGGCCGTTTTTTTGTACTTCGACTTGTTGCTGTTGGCCTTGTCCAGGCTGTGGGACAAGTTGTCGCATTCATCCGCCAACCGCTCTCCCGCCTCTTCCAACTGCTTGCATATCCTGGAGATCTCACGATCGGCTTTCTCATGTGCGGCAAGACGTACTCGCACAGTCCGGAGAATTCGACATTTCAGATGTTCGATCAAGACGGTCTGGTCGACTCGGTCGTCCAACGACCCTTGATAAGCTTCGGACCGCTTGACCTCGTCTTCATAGCAAACGCGCAAGCGGTCGTACATCGATTGGACGAACTGAACGAAAGGGGACGCGGAGGTGCTGAGCTCCTGAAGGTAATCACTCAGCTGGCGATTCTGGATCATCTGCTGCTTCAAAGCAGCCTCCATACTCTGGTACCGATCCACGACAGTTTGTTGGAGGTTCAGGCGAAGGTAAAGCGAATCAATCGCTGCGTTTAACGCGGCTCGATCGACCGAATCCGGGGCTTCGATCCGAGTACTTGGGAGCAAGATGAGCTCACTCGGATCCGGAGTTGGGACGATTTGGCCGGCGGAGGTCCTGTCCGGAGTGGGGATCGAAGAGGATTGCGACAGAGGGATCGAGATGGAAAACCAATTAGAGCCTTCTCCCGTCTGGGCTAACGTCACCACAGCCGAGCGATCACACTCGGTCACCGGCACGGTGGAGACGTCTGAGATCTCGGGACTGGTAGGCGTAGAGGTTCCGACATCTGATGATGGGATCGCAGAGGGCAATCTGAGGGGCCTCGATCCTGAAGCACGAGGAGATACCTGATCCGGACGGGCTGGATCGTACGTCGTGTCAGAAGATGCGAAAGTGCGTGATAAGGAATAAAGCACACAAGGTTGCACAGCCAGATATACACTGTATGATGACTGACGGTGCAGGGGACAATTGTGGCAAAGCGGTCACAAGGAAATTTCTATTGGGACTTGGATCGGCGATCGCACGGGTCGCACGCTTCAGTTAAGCCAAGAATGCTGTGATTGGTGGATACAGGCCAGGAGGGTAGCTGGCAATAGCACACCCAAACCCCAAGTGGACAGGATCGTTTAGCCTGGGAAGAGGCTAAAGGGTGGTCACACCCGTTTTGATTACGCAATCCGTCGTGAGACATGGCAAGACAAGACCCTCGATCTCACTGGAAGACCGCAGTCCTAACCCAGGATCGCAAGTCCGATCTCAGCTGCGATCCGCTAGTAGGGTCACGACCCGCTAGTAGGATCATGGGTATATCTTGGGTGGGCCACAAGAAGATACGACTGCTGATCTAAATGGTGTGGACCACACAAATGCGAGGGGACGATCTTCCTGGAAAGGTGACCCGTGGCATCTGGTTGGGATATACGGATAGGCATAGGGTAGGGTTTAGGTTGGTTGGTTGCCATTAAACAGAGTTCAAATTACTTCACAAGGCACACGTTATCTCTTCCGGGTAGGATCTTTGGCCCCCGTCGAATAAAGAGTCGCGCTACACGTCTACGTAAGTGTCACACCTGGATTGTTTTGGCCAGGTGTGTTCAAGAACTCTCAAGCAAAATCAACTGCGATCGGACGCAGCAAGACACTTGAAGGCTAGGCGCAAGATCGCGAGACGGCTCAAGTGGTCAGAAGGCTCGCGGGTCAAGCAACCACATAGTGGACAAGGCGATCTCGTTAAAATCAGGGTAACTTATATCAGTACCCACAAGTACCCCGTGATCGCGTGAAGATTTCCGCACGATCACAACCTCATCCCCAACACAGTCAAGCTTTCCTTCGACACGAGTCCACCTAAAAGAGTGCAACCCGCCCTACCGACTGGTACACAAGGTGAGGAAGTCAATACACACGGAATCGGAGTACCCCTCCGTTAGTCGGTCGTCCGGGCGCCAGTGGAGAGTTGGGATCGACTCAGGAAATGAGCGATCGCCACTCCACCACAGAATCGTCAAGACAGAGAATTTGCCACAAATACGTAGCTTTAAAGAATCGGAATTTAAGGAAAGGCTCTGGTGAAAAAAAGAGAAAAGGTTGATCGCTCGATCTGGTACAAGAAGCTCGATTGTCTTTAAGGTTCCTATCGGGACCACTTCGGTAGTACCGCGAAGCACGGTCCGCTATGAGAAAATCTCCGGGTAAAACGAACAGTTATCACCAATGACTACTTAAGCATCGATAAAGACGACTACAGTGAAGACGGCACGAATAAAGAAAAAGATCGCCCTAACCGGATCAGCATGATCGCAGGTTAAAGACGATCAACAGGCCGATTGAGTTTGTGGCCGTAAAATTGATCAAGATCGGCTGGTGAAGGAACCAATTGGCGAAAATTTGTCACGAAAGACACTCGATGATCTGCTTTTAAGAGACATTGTGCTCCGGAAACTGAAGACCAAGCTGATCGAAGTAATATAAGGTCCGAAACCCTCGTCGGCAATAGCGACTGGCACGCTGGGCGATGTCATCATTTTGTACGACTGCAACATGATGCCACTTTTGTCGATAGGTGTTCGACCCAAAAAAAGCTGGTATGTGATCAAGATAAGGTTACCTGCGCGTATAGATCGCAATAATAAGAGTTAATTTACCTGATTTGTTAGCGCGAACCAATTAATCAAGCGACTACGGAGGTCGCAGACGCCTTAAGCGAAAGCTTAACACTATATTTGCAGAGCTCCTCAGCTGAATCTGAATACGATTCTATTGTATCTAATTGCACTAAGTGAATGCCATAGGCCAATTGAGGCTGTAATTCTGTACGATCGGTCTAAGTGACTTGAAACAAACGACGATCGACGATTGTACGCGCTAAAGGATGCATCACATCGGCCATACAAAGACACCTACAAGCGTTACTCGAGGAGGCCCTGGAATATTCAACAAGATGATTATAACGTTCGTACCAAGCGACTCATCCTAGCCGAAGGATTGTGCCTACAGGAGCTCAAGAAGTGTAAACCCGGATGACGAGATGGAATCGTTCCGATCGCATCACAGTTTATCGGCTTTTTCGATACTGAACATGTCGGTCCCAATTATTCGGGGCTAGAAGAGCAGAGACGTGCATTAACGGCCACTGAAGCAAAGTTACAGAATGGATGTAAGATTTCTTATTGTATTCTTGTCTGAGCGTTAAAGAACTGAAAGAAAACAGATGTAACGAAAGATGCAGAAATTGTACCACAATCTTGATTAGCTAAGCAAAGTTGGCGTATCTGCGCGGTCAGTCGTTGGACAAAATTTGTTGGTCATCGGTAATCTGTTAATAGAACCAAGCACGGAACTGGTGCACCTAATTGAGTCGATATTCACGGCAAAAGCGGAAACGATTGCTAAATCGTTCATATTACATTATGAGGGGTAGGTGTGTCCGTTGCCAGACAATTTTATTTTAGTCAGAAGCGATCAGATGTAACCTCTCTGAGATATATGCGCCTTCTTCAGTGTCTCGACAAAGCAGGCCATGATCATCACAAAAAGTTCGAATCTTAGCTTTGTCGGCCACATGTTGGGATCACGTGGATCCTTTCATTGTTAAGCAAAACGATCGCGATGTAGCACAGCGGCTGATAATATTATCATTGAAGAATTCAGATAATAAAAAGGAAAATCTACATTTCTTTTAACGGATGGAGTATCGCTAGATTAAAGCGTTGATTGAATTCAACAAATTTTTGTAGCCGATGTCGAAAATGTCAATCCAATTGCATTAAAGACAGCTTGGGCGGTGAGAGCTATCCGCGAGAAATTCGTAAGCATCGCATCGGAATCGAAGTCAATTGTATCCGATCAAGACACGAATCGCATTCAAGTTTATAACAATTACACCTGACTAAGAAAATGGGACAACGATCAAAGCACTTGGTAGAAAGAAAATGATCAAGGCGGTAAACACGATCGTAGTGGGCTTTTTAGGGCGTGTACATATTGTTAAACTGCCAAATGCTATGATTGAGGGTGATTAAAAAAGGGTGTTGTTGAAATGTGGTTGCGAAAGACATTCCTTTTAACAGATTTCTTTGTGTGTGCATCCTGCGGAGAATACGCTAGGGTGGTAAATGCCCCATAGAGAAAATTTCGTTTTGACCCGATAATGGTACGACCCTACGAAGTATGCTGCAATTTTTCCGCTCAAGACGTAAGGGCTTGCTAAACCAGGACGCTCGCCAGATTGGAATATGGAACGAGACGAGGGTTCTAGGCTTGGTAATTGTGCAATTTTCGGAGGACTTTGATAGGAACAAGAGATAAATGATCGGATAGACCGATCGATACCAAACACAACAATTCTACATTGGTAACGTCAGTATGAAGTCTGAACAGGGTAAATTTTTATGCTTCATCGTCGGTGAGAAAGTTCCTTGACCTCGCACTAGAGAAATCGCGCGGGTCTTGTAGTACTTCAATATTGGAAAATGCTTAAGGCAATCGTAGCGAGGGGCGATGTCAATGATGAAAAAATTTACCAGGTTGTTCGACTCAGCGCTGAAGTGTCAATATTCGATACTATCTATGCTCGTAAGGAAGGACGTGTTATCGATTAAAGTCAGACACGATAGTGCGTCGGAAGTAAGAGGCTTCATGTATGACTGTGGGTTAGATGACGATCAAGATCACATTAGACGGATCGGCGTAGTGTTGTTTCGACATTGGGTTCATTGCTCGAGTCGAGAAAGAAGCCATACTTGTTTTGGAAAAAATGTTTTTCAAGGAGCGTTCGTCTGAATTCAGCTGACGGAATTTTGTGTCTACCAGACGAGTCGCTGATTGGCTTGTAGGACAGAAGTCGCATTATTTTGATTGCACAGCCGAGTAAATTAAATTGTCCACAAGGTGTCATTTCGGCTGGAAATATACGATAATGCTTACCGAAGTTGGTCTGCCTATGGCTAAACTTAAAACGAGGCGAGATGTGGCGTCGGTGCCGACAGTAACCAATTGGCCCATCCAGATCATGTATACATAGCTTACAAACCTCAGCAATCGTGATAAAATTATGTATGTTAAAGCTTGATCGAAATATTTTGTTAAGCATCTAACACGATGTCTCGGTCACTGAAATGTGTAATAGTGTACAGGCCGCTAGTAGACCATCCAAACAAATTAAGAAGTGTTCGAGTTTAATCCCGACGAGCGATAAAATTAAATCTGAGACAGAATTTTCAGAGAGGAACAGGTCGCGGTCAGACAAAAAAAAGACTAACGGAAGCGAAAGACTTGATTATACTACTGACGAAAGTCATTTAATTAGGAAGGATTGAAGATTAACAGGTACACTTTATGCTAGTTATACAAATTGGAGATAGTAGATGACAATTGAGGACAAAATAGGCCTAAAAGGGCGATCAATGACGTGAAGGTGACTGCGACGGAAGAATCCATCACACGGCGTTTAATCCGTTACATAAACGGACCGGCCATCATCCAGACGCGATCTTAATTAAAGATGGTGGGTTGCAAAACATGCCGATTTACTGGTAGAAGACTACAAGGCCGTAAGAATCGACATAATTGGGTAACTGTAAAAAAAGGCAGTGAGATCTTAAGCGGAGATAGACACGATTGACACCGTGAATTAGATCTAATAAGTCGAAAACGAGGACAAAGTGTGCGATAGAATTGATCCAGTCCAAAAACAAACTGCCATCGGTCAGACGGAATTGAGAGCGAAGATTGTAAGTTGCAAGAAGAGATGATTGGCGGCCGTGAGAAATGTATAATGCCAAGATCGACGAGGAGGTTACGAAAGAAGAGGTATCGCCTTAATCAATATAATACTACGATGATGGTGG